GTGACTGGCATAGAAACTGACCAATCAGAACCAAATCTGGGTGAATGTAAGGAGCCAATGACTGCCTAGGAGGCGGAGCTTTTGACTCTGACTGGCATAGAAACTGACCTATCAGAACCAAATCTGGGTAAATGTAAGGAGCCAATGGCTGCCTAGGAGGTGGAGGGTTTGAGCCTGACTGGCATAGAGAGGGCAGGTGGGGGCGAGATCAGGCCAGCAGAGGAGAGCAGTTGGGGGTGACTAGGCCTACAAGGCATGGCAGTTGGGGGCAATCAGGCCAGTAGGGGAGGGCAGTTGGGAATGATCAGGCCAGCAGGGGAGCAGTTAGGCATCAATCAGGCTGGCAGGGGAGCGGATAGGGGGTGATCAGGTTTGCAGGCAAAAGTGGTTGGGGCAAGCACGCAGGCAGGAAGGCAAGAGGTTAGGAGCCAGCAGTCCTGGATTTTGAGAGGGGTATCCAACTGCAGGTTTAGGCTGTGTGGGATCAGGCCTAAACCAGAAGTCGGACATCCCCCAATAGGTCCCAGATTGGAGAGGGTGCAGGCCGGGCTGAGGGACACCCTCCCATGCATGTATTTCTTGCACCAGGCCTCTTGTCTATATATATAAAAGCCTAAGTGACCATCTGACGGTTTGACCGTCCAATGGGCCAGTACCTATGATGCACAATGGCCATTAGGGGGCAAATGCTGAATGTAGGAGCTGCCTAGCTGTGGTGACTTGGGAACTGCGGTTCTCTGGTAACGCACCCAGAACTAGAGAGGAGGGAGCCTGATTCTGGGGTGTGTCACCCAAGAACTGCCCTCTTGCAATCCAGGACCCCTCAGGGGATGTCGGAGAGCTGGTTTTGGCCCGATCCCCACACGCCAGGCTGAGGGACCTCACCGGTGACGAATCCGTGCACTGGGCCTCTAGTAGTAATATAAATCTTGCACTCTGTTGAATATACTAGTCCCAAAGGCTAGGGACTCTTTTCCTTATTTAGAGCCTTGATAGACAGGAAAATGTGTCCAGTTAATGAGAGCAATCACGAGAACATTTCTTGTTCTGTAAAATGGTTTCTATTGTGGCCATGTCAATGAGCACTCACAGTTGTGACCAAAATACTTCAGGTGTAAGCTAAATGTTTGAATTGTTCAGACATTCCAGGTTTCTTTAGCAGCAGAGTTAGAGCTTTAACCTGACGTTTCCATTCCAAGGCTAACATGTAGGTCGACAATGTTCAACCTTGGTGGCGGAGGGAAGGTTTAGAGTTTATTTTCATGCTCAGGAACTACATAGTTGGATCTGGGATGAGACTTGTAGGTGATGAAGCTGACATCAAGTTACCTGCCATATTTTTTTTTTTTTCTCCCAGCAACTGCTCATTGGGGATCCTGCTATTCCTGGACACAGTTTGGCAGTTACTGCATCAAACATAATCTTTTTTGTTAACCTGTGTTGCTAATTCACCAATTATTGCCCATTTTGGCCAACACAGAATTTACATTGCAGAAATTTGTTCTTTACTTTCTTGTCTTGTTTCAATTGTTACATCTGCAGTTCTTGAGGTCAAAACAAGCACAGCATGCCATTTAGAGATGCCTCTTATGTTTGGGATTCATCAAAGCTGCTTGCTACACCCACACACGAACATCCACAGTCAAGCTAATATCCTCAGCTCTGTTCATGGATAGCGCCCAACATCTGTATGACAAATGAAAATACGATGAGCATTTAAGGATTGCTCACTGACAAATGTCGAGCCACTTCCATGTCTTGGGTACTAGTTTCTGAGGAGCGATAGCTCCTCCATCAGGGAACTTCCTGGGAGAGAAGAAAAAAAACAACAGCTTTTATTCATTAGCTTTCTCAAGAGCCATTCAATGTACTTTGTAATCAGAAAGGTTTTCTTCTGCTTTCTTGCAGCTACTGTACTTTTTGCTGAGTGCCCTTGGCTTGATGGTCTGTGTGCTGGCCGCAGCGTTTGCTGCCCACCACTATTCACTGCTCAACCGGGTTACCTGTGGGACCGCGCTCGACGCCTGTCACTGCAAAGTGCCCACCTCCGAGCCTCTCAGCAGGACCTTTGTGTACCGGGATGTGACTGACTGTACCAGCATCACTTTCACTTTCAAAGTGTTCTTACTCACCCAGATGATTCTTAACTTGGTGTGTGGCCTTGTGTGCCTACTGGCCTGCTTTGTGATGTGGAAGCACAGGTACCAGGTCTTTTATGTGGGTGACAGGATGTACTCCCTCACAACTTCCCAAGGCCAGCAGCAAAAGGTCTAACACTCTTGCTCAAAGGTGGGAGAGAAAAACAGCACACTGACTAGCTGAGGTTAAAAGAGAAACAAAAGAAAAAGAAGAGAGAGTAAAAACTCTGACAGTAACTAGTATTCATGGTTCTAAATGAATATTTTTATATTTTTCAGAAAATGAAAGCATTTCTTCAAGTTTTCTATAGTATTTTTTACAAATTCTTGTGAGAAAAATGAGATCCAAATTGACGTTGGGACAGTAAAAGGACACCGAATGGGGAAAGGCTAGCATAGATTTATCTTCACAGTCTGGAGTTTACTCCTTATGTTCATTTTATCCATTACTTGTGTAATCTTCTTTCCTGTTAGTCTAGTTTGGAGGTGCAAATTGCCATTTCAGGCCCACATGCTCAATTTTGTAGTCTTTTCCAGGCCTCCTACCTCCCACCTGGACGTTCTCACTATGCCTTGGAGAAAGGCAGGGGCCGGGGAAAGAGCTGATCGGCCAGACATCTCTATTTTCCATGGCAGAGATGTCTTCGAGGCGTGAAACAAGTTAAAGGAGCAGAATAGAAAAGGAAGAGACTTTTGAATAATTATGAACACCTGGGCTGGGGCAGCAGCCTTTTCTCCCCAGCTGCCTGTGTTCGGCTCTGTAAGTAGATCGCTTACTAAATGCTTCAGGTGATTGTCTGCGTCTCCATAATTGAAAGTTGGTAGTAGTTGTATTCTTAATGATGTAGAAGGCTTACAATAATCACATTATGCTTCTATTCTATCATCTAAAACAAATCATTAAAACCAATTTCAAGCTAATTGTTCATTATAATTATACTCAGAAGTCTATTTAACAAGCCCTAGTTGAACTTAGGGAGCACAGTCGGTGTTAAGAGACGTGACTCTCACAGAGAAGAGGCTTAAAGATGGTTTCTCCTGAAAGCCACGCTTTATAAGGGAGAAAACAATTTTAATTAATAGCGCAGGTTAAATATACTCATTTAAACAAACACAAGAGCATTTGTAACAGGAATGGTTATACAAATAGCACATTTGTGATAGGTTGTGAAGTGTCTCTCTTGGCAGCTAAGTACTTTTGAGGAAGATTGGGTAATGCCCACGTGTTTCATTCACAAAACTGTATTTGATATGCAATCCTATTATTGATTTGTATGCACAGTGAAACCTAGAGATTAAAACGTTTGGAAAGCTTATTTGATTGAACATTTGCACATTGACTTGAAGGGTAGTTTTTGTTTTTAAGTAACTGACATAAAAAAAGCACAAATTCCCTATGTAGGGAGACTTTTCTCTCTTATTATTGCTATTATTAAATTTGGAACAATGTCAGTGTTTTAAGGAAGGAGCTCAGAATGCAAATTCATGCACCATGAATGTTACCAAGAACTTTTTCTCTTATTATGCTCTGTTGAAATTCAAGATAATAATTGAGTTCAAGTTGCTTTTCCATGTTGCTTATAAACTTTACTAATTATAAAATTCTACCCTAAAAGAAAAACATTTTCTTGTTTGCCTTAGAATATAGATGAATATTTCTACTGATGGTGATAATAGTGTTGATTTCTACACAATGTAAATACCCTGATAAGCCTGGCAGGTGTGGCTCAGTGGTTGAACATCAGCCTATGAACCAGGAGGTCACAGTTTGATTCCCAGTCAGGGTACATGCCTGGTTACGGGCTAGATCCCCAGTGGCGAGCACACAGGAGGCAGCCGATCAATGATTCTTACTCATCATTGATGCTTCTATCTCTCTTTCTCTCTCCCTTCCTCTCTGAAATCAATAACAAATATATTTGGAAAAAATAGCCAAATAAAAAGAAAAACGTTAAGTCAATTAGGTGGAGGATTATAACGATCTTTTATGTCCTCCAGATAAAACACCCGATTAACAGATGTTAAAACCTTTTTATGTATTGACTTGCTGTTTGAAAATGGCCTTCTTATACACTAGCTCAGGCCAAGAAGGCACATTGGAGGGATTAGAAGATAAGACTCTGGAGCAGATGTTTGATCGCACACAAGAATCGCATGGACAGAACACCAGGCATCCTGATGATGACCTGAAAAATACTTTGTGTCTTGATTTTAAAAATCTCAATAATTGAATCCATTTTGATTTTGACAGTGTTCTATATAAAGAAGAAAATGACTGAGAATCTGAAATGTTGTAGGCTATTCTTTAAAGAGTGAAAAACTAGTGCTTTAAAGTTAATTCCTAAGAATTCAGCACCACTGGAAGCACACACTGAATACCTTTAACAATGTTTTATAGCAAACACTACAGATTTTTATATTCAAAAATTAGAATTCTACACATTACTAAGGTGCTCTATGTTTTACGAGAATTCACAAGGTATTTCAAATAGCAAAATACTTTAGCTGATGGGCTTGCTTTTTCTAAATAATGCAACCTGTAAGAACTG